TAAAAACGTGCTACAAAAACATAAAAATAATAATGACAAAACAAAAACATAAACATTTTAGGAAGGCGGGGGTGGGACAAATGCGACCTTTTTTTTGCGACCTCGCTGACACGTCAAATTTGGGCTAAAAGGCAAAAATTACGCAACTTAACGCTTTTCCGCAGTTTTTGCCTTTTAGCCCAAATTTGACGTGTCAGCGAGGTCTGATTTGTCGAAATTCGGAATCTACGCATACGATTCCCTTATATGGAAGTATTTTCGAAATATTTTCAAAGCTCTACGGCCTTGCCTAAGGCCTTTTCCAGCAAAAAAAAGGTGCGCAAATGTCCAGGTGCGCAAAAAAAAGGTCGCATTTGTCCCACCCCCAGGAAGGCGAAAGAAAACTTGGCGAAACTTGGCATAAAACTCGGAAAAAGTTCCCGATTACATCATGGTATGGAAAGAAAATGAAAAAAATAGCAAAAGAAGAATTTTGTGCGGGGTACGGTAGCGCATCCACGCTTTAGAAAGCGCACTGCATCATTTTTGCGCCAGTTCTTTAAAATAGCACATCATTAGGAATCTAATTACCGTAAATACTGTAATAGTACCCCACCCCCTCGTACAGTCGGGTAGTCGCAAAAGTTTTTTAGTATTTCATTTTTTGCAAAGCACTCGTACTTTCAAAAAATGCGTCTTTGGTATCAAAAAATAGCCCTGAATTTCAGCTATTTTTTGATACCTAAGCGCGCATTGTAGCATAAATCAGTGTCGAGAAAAACTCGTTCAAAGCTAGACTACGCAACACTCCGCACCGTCATTATGGGGGGTGGGGTACTATTACAGTATTTACGGTAGGCAAAATTGTGTCAAAATACCTTTTATTCATGCAAAAGCTCTGAAATTGATGGAAAAAAAATGAATAAGATCAGCTTTCCTATCTTTTTAGGAGCTATCTATCTCTATCTTTTAAAAATCTTAAGCTCAATGTGATTTTTGGTTTGAATCGCTTTTCTGAATTCATTACAGAACGAAAAATTGACTTAAGATAACTTTTGGATAACTTTACATTCATGATTTCACGAGATTTCACTTGGCAATGCTTTGATCTAAACTTGTAGAAACTCTTTTACAATTTCTTTACTCATCCAACATCCTATTCTTCCTCCTTTTTCCCCTTCAACAATCCCTATTCACTTTTCTTTTCTATTCAACCATTTCCCCTTTATTTTTCCTTTTCTCTTTCCTTTTCTCTTTCCTTTTCCCTATTTGTCCAACGTGAGTCTCGGGTCCTTTTTTAGTCTTTCCTTCTCTCCTTTTTTCACTTCCCTTTTTTAGTCTCTCCTTCTCTCCTTTTTTCAATTCCCTTTTTTAGTCTTTCCTTCTCTCCTCTCCTTTTTCAATTCCCGATTCACATTCATGTTTTGACACTCAAAGTTGCGAGTTGAAGTGCAAGTTTAAATATTGATTCGATACTGAAAAAAGTACAGTTATCTGTGACAAATCAAAGCCAGATCCTAGGCTGAGTCTTCAGGCAATAGACAATAATGATCTATCCTGACTTGGCTTTTGCGTTTAGTTCAAACGGTAAAGTCCGACTTGACCCTAGCTCTAGCATTTCCTGTTCAGTTCCGTAAAATAACGCTTTCACTACACATAGTACATCATCATATCTCAACACAAGCGAGATAGATTTATAGAGATGTTAGGCGATAACAACCAAGCAGGCTAGGCAAGGCTAGGCAAGGCTAGGCAAGGCTAGGCAAGGCTAGGCAAGGCTAGGCAAGACGAGAAGTTAGCCTAAGATTGGTTATGGCCTGGGTATGGCCGCCTAGAAGCATTGTCTGTCTTTGACAACATTGTCCCAGTTAAACAATTAGGTTCTGGGTTTAAGCTGGGAATGGTCGGTACCGGGTTTCGAATCCGCGATACTGTCAACTATACTTGATCTTTCGAATCCCCACTTTACCAATGAGCTATCAACAAGTTTTCTGTTGCCGTCAGGATAAAGCTTTAAGCCTTACTAACAGTTACAGTTGACAACAAATCGATTTCACGTAATACAAATCAAATCCTTCATCTACTTAGCTATCGAAAGCCGTTCTAAAGCCGTTCTAAAGCCGTTCTAAAGCCGTTCTAAAGCATTTATCCCATAGAAAAAGAGGGAAATTTAGATGATTCCCAAGATCTTCTACTACAAGACGATCGCTTTCCTTTCCCCGATTCCTTTCGTTTGACTACAGTCGCCAACACACGTTGACAGGCTGTGAAGAGCCCGTTTCGAGGGACCGTCCTGCAGTACCCCTCCCCCCAGCCCTTCTATTTACCCAGCACCTCCCCTCCACATCTCATCCACACCATCTCTTCTCGAATTTTGTGAATGATCTCTTCTTTTTCTTCTATTCCCCATTTCTCTCATCTCGATCTCTTTCACGCAATTCTATTTTTAGCATTCCTTTACCATCCATCTAACCGACTTTGAAGACGTTTTTTTTTGATTGGATTTAGATATTTGATGTACTTAACGTACTTAACGATTCAGGTTTTATAAATCTACATTTTAAACTAATTGAATAGAAAAATAGAATAATCGAATCGATTAAAGACTTAAAAATTGCATTTATCTGAACATAGAATGTTTTGGGGCTTGTATTGCGACTTTGAGTCTGGTCAAACTCTCTGGACGTACTTTTTTGTACTCTAGAAGTTGAGGAACCAAAAACGATGAAGCGATTTGAGCACGATTTGAGCACTTTAATTTGAGCAACTCGATTTGAGCAAACCGATTTGAGAAAACCTTTCTAGTACACGCTTTTTCGTTCTATGAACTGATTTGATTCAGAAATAACGCCTTTTTTTTATTTTTTTTTATTTTTTTGCATATTGAATCGATCAAAATCAAAATTTTGATCAAAATCAATCAAATTTTGATCAAAAGTTTGATAATCAAGCTTTAATCAATGTTTTAATGATTTCTAATGATCTAATGACATTGATCATCACCAGAATGACTCATTCATTTACTTTTCTCATTTGTTTTCCTATCATAGTTCAGATTTCTCTTTTCTTTTTGCAAAGTTATTTTTATTTTCTGCAAAATTTCGAGAAGCCAGCAAAAAAGTAAAGCAAAGTAAAGCAAAGCAAAGCAGAGACAAAAGAGTTGATCTGATTGGGTTTTTCGATCAATTTATATTATAATATAGTAATAGATAGATTAATTATAATATAATAATAATAATACTTTATTCAAACGATAAAGTGAAAGAAATCATAGAGAAATGCACAGTGATACTTAAGCATACAATACATACTGAAATCAATAAGCCAATTACTTACGGCAGAGAGCCACTAGATCTAAAGCATATAAAAACAATAATATAAAAACAATAATAATAATACTTTATTCAAACGATAAAGTGAAAGAAATCATAGAGAAATGCACATACTTAATCATACAATACATACTGAAATCAATAAGCCAATTACTTACGGCAAAGAGCCACTAGATCTAAAGCATCGATACGTTTCTTGAATATGAAAAGCGACTGAATTTCTCGTATGTCGTTTGGGAGCAAGTTCCATAATCTAGCGGCTCTAACGGGAAATGAATTTGATAAAGAGGCATTGGAAGCAAAGGGAATTTGCAAAAGGAATGAGCCACTTCTGGGCCCTGACCGCGGTTTAAATTTGAAAAAGTCTATAAACAAAGGGCTAATCTGTTTACAACGGAGGATTTTGAAAGTTTCGACTAAATCAATGACAAAGCGACGATGCTGTAAAGTTTTTAGTTCAAAAAAAGCAAGTCTCTCCTCATAAGTAAAGCTAGAATATTTAGAATAGTCAATTTTCCATAAAGCGACTTTTGTGAACCTCCTCTGAATTTTCTCCAAGCGTTCAATAAAGACTTGTGATTTTTATTTTCTGCAAAATTTCGAGAAGCCAGCAAAAAAGTAAAGCAAAGCAAAGCAAAGCAAAGCAAAGCAGAGACAAAAGAGTTGATCTGATTGGGTTTTTCGATCAATTTATATTATAATATAGTAATAGATAGATTAATTATAATATAGTAAAACTGCTTTTAATGTAAACTTGCTTTTAATATAGTAAAACAATTTTTTAACTATCACAATTTGTTTATAAAAATAAAAGAAGAAAGAAAAGATCAGAAAAGAAAAGATTTGAATTTTAAATGATTGTTGGGAGGGGGATAGAAGTGCTTTTTCAATTGGAAAAGCATTGATCAATGAAAAGATTGATCATTGATCAATGTTCAATTCAAGATCAATGTCTAAAAAAGACATAAACTAGATTACTGTATTCAAGACGGATCGATGCCTCTGCCGCCCTTTACTAAAATAGCTGTAAAAACTTTTAGAAAAGAGATATCTCAAAACGGTTTTTACCAATCGATCCGTCTTGAATTCAGCTTTAGGATGAGCTATAAAACGTCAAAATTCGACAAATTTAAGGTACTCTCCCAAAAAATCGGAAAGGACTTTTCCATCAACCCTATAGATTACTGTAGTCTGAGAATTACAGTAGCTATTATCCAGAAATGCTGTTGAAAAAGACATTTTCAAATTGTTTCTTGTGATTTTGTAAAAATGAAATGAAATGAAATGAAATAAAATGAAATAAAATGAAATGAAATAAAATGAAATGAAATCCTCTTTACTTTGTGACACAGACTTTCTCATTTCATTCATTCAATTCATTCATTCATTCATTCATTCATTCATTCATTCAACATCAAACAAAAAACAGATTTCATAACATTTTTCTTTATCATTCTTTTCAAATTTCTTAGATTTTAAAGAGAAAAGCTAAAATTGTTTAAAGATTTTCTAAAAATAAATGAATCAGAACTCTTTTTCTTCTAGCAAAGCAAAGGAGAATTTTGGCAACTTTTGAAGAGCAAATTCTCCCAATAAATGCTTAAAATCTTCTATAAATTTAGTCAAATTTAGCTCCTTACTAACTGCAAAGTACGATCGACAACTCCCCACGATCCTTAAACGACTCAAATGCTAAGCGATGTCGTTGTAATCGAGGATGGATCCCTCGCTGATGACCCACTTCTATTCCCATCGGATTCATTCTATCATTGCAATCTCTCCACTCTTCCATCACATCACGCAGCTGGGGATCAGGTAAAAGATATTCATTTGCATTCTTGTGCATTCATTTGCATTTACCCAACATCATGCTTTGGTCTAGACTCGGCTTTTGATCTTGCCTAGTCCAAAGAAAATCCTCCAGGTTCAGGTACTTTAAGGAAATGACTAGAGCCTGGTCTTGTTTGACTGGACCTTGATCTGGCCTGAACTGGCCTGAACGAAGACTTGGATCATTTACCTAACTAGTCCAGGACGCAATCTCGATCATTTGGTGGTGCAACGTTGTCGGTGTGCCGTTGATTGCGATTTGTGGATTGGCAGCGAATCTTCTCAATATCGCCATTCTCACCGGAAACCGCGCAGCCCGGAGGATACCGTCATGGTGAGAATTTTGGGATTACTATAGCCTTATTGGAGGTTACGGTAGCTATTATCTAGCTACGGTAGCTATTATCTAGCTACGGTAGCTATTATCTAGCTACCGATAGCTAGCTCAGTAGCGATTACAGTCTAAAAAGATTACGGTAACTATTGGATTACTGTAGAAAGTGAAATCTAGATTTAAAATCGAATTCCAGGCAACTCCTCCTTGCACTCGCCATCTCCGACTGTTTCTTTTTAATCTTTGCCACACTGGAAGTTAGTTAAAAGCTTTACGATTATATAACTGAATATCTTTAGATGGTTAATAATATTAATTGAAACTTGATTTACAGGTAACCCCATCGTCAATCCCATCGTTAGCCTTGAATCCTTTGTTCAATCTAATCTATGCCCATTCGGCTCTCTACATTCGCACACTCGCCTCTACTTTTTATAAAAGCTCCGTCTTGTAAGTATTTAAAGTTTAAGACTGATCTTCTATACATCTAAGCTTGGCTTACTGTAGCTTGGCTTACTGTAGCTTAGCTTACTGTAGCTTAGCTTACTGTAGCTTAGCTTACTGTTGCTTAGCTTACTGTAGATACACTGGTGTACGGTAGCCGTATGTTAAACTACAGTGCTCAATTAGATTGCGCTGAATAAACACTACTTTATCGATAGCTGTCTAAAACACTGGACGCTAAAGTACTGTACAATTTATAGAATCGTTGTTGCATTTAACGTCGAGCGATACATTTGTGTGGTTGATCCACTGCGATCGCATCGAATCTGTACGGGGAGTGCATCAAGGGCAGCTGTTGCTACATGGTTTGTGAGTCTAAAAACTATAAAGAAGTCCTACTCTTCGTTATTGGAGAGTAGCAAAAAAAGGAAAAAGAAGAAGAGGGGATCGAACCCTGGACCCTCAGTTTTCTAGCCAAAGGCACTAACCAGTTAGCTATCCGGTAGATTGACGAGAAGCCTTCCTTTCAGCGTATTGATCTCCCTCCTCTGCTCTCTTCAATGGCCAATCTGTTACCGTGTGATTCGGTGTCTCGATCATTCAAATACTCATTTCTATGTGATTTTTCTATCGGATAATCCTAAACTCCAGGTTTAAAGTCATTTTTTTTCCCAACATTTCCCATTTTTTTTAAAGCTCTACTATCGTATCCTCGACTATGTCTCCCTGATCGCCTTCAATATTTTACCAATTTGCGCGGTTTTAGCCATGAATGCAAGGCTTATCATCACGTTGTCGAAAGTGGTTTGTGCTTGGAATTTAGTTTGATATGAAATGAGATTGAGAATGAATTTAGGCAGATGAAGATGCGAAACGACGAAGTCGACAATGCGGAGCTGCCACTTCGCTTGTACAAGTCAGTTTCACAATTGCTTTGTTTTCTAAAATATGCGCTTTTCTCTCAACTAATGGAATCTTGGCTTTATTTTTAACCAATCCATTTTTATATCTTTTCATATCCTTTCTGAGAGAACGAGCTTTGTTAGAGAACGAGCTTTGCTAGAGAATGAGCTTTGCTGGAGAATGAGCTTTGTTAGAGAACGAGCTTTGTTAGAGAATGAGCTTTGCTAGAGAATGAGCTTTGCTAGAGAATGAGCTTTGTTAGAGAACGAGCTTTGTTAGAGAACGAGCTTTGTTAGAGAACAAGCTTTGTTAGAGAACGAGCTTTGTTAGAGAACGAGCTTTGCTGGAGAATGAGCTTTATTAGAGAACGAGCTTTGCTAGAGAACAAGCTTTGTTAGAGCTTAAAGCACACTTTGGAAACGATACCGCTTTTGCTTTGTAGAAATTTCTTTGGCTTTTAATAGCTTTAAATGATCCAACCATAGACAAATATAATTATGGAAAAGAGCAAAGTGTTTAAGCCAATAAGATGTAGAGATTTTGTCTCCAATAAACCTTAAACCTTAAACCTTAAACTCTTAGGAGCCAATCGAGGGAAATTCGGCAGCACGCATCAACGCGAATGCAATGCTTTTCGCTGTTGTTATTTGTCTTTTGATTTGCGTTGGACCACAGGTAACGATTTTTCTTTTAAAATCGATCTATTAGTGTGATCTGGCTAGACTTTGAGTTACGTAGCCGTTTATGAAATCATTCGTAATCAGCCGTAAGCTGCCGTAATCAGCCGTAAGCTGCCGTAAACTGCCGTAATCATTTGTAATCATTTGTAATCATTTGTAATCATTCGTAATCATTTGTAATCATTCGTAATCATTCGTAATCATTTGTAATCATTTGTAATCAGCCGTAAGCTGCCGTAAACTGCCGTAATCGGCTAGGCATTTACGAATAAAATGTTTAAATACAAATTTCATCTGTATTTCAATTTAATCGATGCTATACTATTCAAATATTTTATGGTTTTAAACTATTAAAGAAACGAAAGAATGTAAATGTAAAAGAAACGATGTCTCTCGAGAAGAGAAAATTGGTAAAGAAAAAAATTGTTGTTGATTGGTTGAAACTAATTTCTGATGAGCTTAAATGTTAAAGATCTACTATATATAAAGCAGAAGTGACGTTTGTCCGTCTGTCCATTCGCTGGTTCGTCTGTCCGTTCGTTCGTTCGTCTGTCCATTCGCTCGGTCGTCTGTCCATTCATTCGTTCGTCTGTCCATTTGTCGGTTCGTCTGTCCGTTGGTTCGTTCGTCTGTCCATTCGTTTGTCCGTCTGTCCATTCACTGGTTCGTCTGTCCATTCGTTCGTTCGTCTGTCCGTTGGTTCGTTTGTCTGTCCATTCGTCCGTTCGTCTGTCCATTCGTCCGTTCGTCTGTCCATTTGTAAATGATTAGCTGATTGGGATTAGCTGAGATAAACGGTTGAAAGTTTGTTCATTCTCAGGCTCCAGCTCGTCTCCTCTTTGGTTTATACGGTCAATACCATTCGACAGCTATTGTTTACACATGTGCCACACAATTGGTTGGTTTTTTGAATGTAATTTTAAAAAGAGAATCAACACTTTTAGTTAGTTTTTCTCAACGCTTCTCTCAATTTTTGTCTTTATTGTGTTGTCTCGAAAAGATATCGATCATTGATGAAATCGACGATTAAAGGATTAGCACAAGTGAGTAAAAAAAGAATATTTAGATAGATTACAGACTTACAGTTGCTTTAAATAAGCTTTTAAACCTCTAGATTACTGTAGACGAGCTACAGCACCCTTTTAAATGTTCAGTCTGTCTTTTTTAGCTATACGGTAGCTTTCTAGAAAACGAATCATTCTTTTTGTAAAGCTAAATGCTTAGAGTTCAAGGATTACTATTTACTATAATAGTGAAAATATTGTTAGAATGGTTTAAAGCTGTTTGGGATACAGGATACTTATAATGAAATGCTTTTCAGGGAGTTACCGAGCGTCGTTTTGGTGGGACGAGTGCTCGAAGTAAAAGCTCATCTCCTCATGCAACACTTTTAGAAGAGAATCCCTCAAGAAATCCATTCCAATTATAAAACCAATTATAAAACAAATACCTACCTTAAATAATGTAATAGTACCCCACCTCCCATAATGACGGTGCGGAGTGTTGCGTAGTCTAGCTTTGAACGAGTTTTTCTCGACACTGGTTTATGCTACAATGCTCGTTTAGGTATCAAAAAATAGCTGAAATTCAGGGCTATTTTTTGATACCTAAACGAGCATTGTAGCTTAAACCAGTGTCGAGAAAAACTCGTTCAAAGCTAGACTACACAACACTCCGCACCGTCATTATGGAAGGTAGGGTACTATTACAGTATTTACGGTAATTTATCGTCGAATACAATACTATGTACTAGATTATTTTGTTTCTGTACTTTGTGCTTGAAACTCACCCCCTTTCTAGCGCACTAATTTCACATTTTAAATCAAAGCAAAGAATCGTGCTCGCCAGAAAGGATCCGTTTCTAAATGAGCACAAAGCACAAAGAATATTTTCTCTCTATTTGTGAATTTCCCTTTTTCCATATCCTGTGATCCTCAAATATTATCTATTCAAATCTATTCGTGAATTCCCTTTTTGCATAATAATTTATTTCCCTCAAGAGCTTATAAAAATCTCTTTTCACTTTGAAAATAAATTATAAAGAAGAAAATAAAGGCCTAAAGTAAATAAAAAAAAAGCTTACAATAACTAACAACCAAACTATCTACAAACCTTACAAGTAAAAGAGTAAAAGACACAAATCTAACCTCTTGCTTGCTCTGCCTTGTTATAATCTAATTCAGAATTGCTCTACAGCTTACTGTAACTAATAAAATAAATAGCTCAAATCGATTCGCCGACCTTGAAAACCCTGGATACAAATTCACAGCTAAATATCTCCTCTTTGAAACCATTTAAAAAGCAAAACAAAAATTACTGACGACTGGCGAGATGTTCTTTGTGCGGTGGCGTACTCGCTCGCGATCTGGCACATGCGCCCGATAGATAGGTGTTCATTTTGGGATTATTTTGGGAAGGGCAAGGAGCGATTGAAGCGGATTAACCGGCGTTCTCTGTGCGGTGGCGCAATCGCTCGCGATCTGGCACATGCGCCCGATAGATAGCCGTTCATTTCGGAATTACTTTGGAAAGTGGCCGGAGCGATAAGCGATTCAACTGGTGTCACTATGGCCAAATTTTTGGGATTAATTCTTATCTTAAATTTGGCTAAATTCTCGCTACGAATTTCATATCTCGAGCAGCTAAATGGAGAGAAAAATGCAATGTGAAAACTGGGAAAACAGGGACTGGCGAGGTGTTCTTTGTGCGGCCGCGTAATCGCTCGTAAGCACCCCAAACTCCAGTGATTCTAGATTTACAGCAAAGCCCACAGTACTCCAGGAATCCAAAAATACAGTAGTCAGAAGACCTATAGTATTCCAAGGCTCACAGTAACAGTAACCCAAAAGTCTACGTGATCCCAGACCTACAGTAATCCTAATAGATATAGATGTAGTAGAAGTGAAAAGGAAAGTGGAAAGGCTTTTCTTTTGCAAACACACCCTTTCTGGTGCACTTGGAATATCCAAGAGTTGAACTGAGTGCCCTGGTAAAGATGCCTTTCCACTTTCCTAATAGATATAGATGCTTTCAAGATCAAAGATCAATTCGTGCATAGTTTTCAATCTACAGTAACTCGACGATCTCATCTTTTCCCTGTCAACAGCTAAGAATTCTAGAAATTCTTTCGAAATCATTCAAATCAAATGACTTCGAGACCGAAAATAAAAGTTTTTTTAATTTTTTTTTGATTTTTCCCCGATTTCATTCAGATATTTGTGAAATTCTCAGCAAAAAACCCATTTTCTTTTATTTTCTTTCTTTTATTTTCATTTTCTTTCATCTTCATTTTCTTTTATTTTCTTTAATGTTCTCTTTTTGAAGTATCGCTAATGGGCTGTACATTTATCTTCAAAACAAATCTTTCCCTTTTTCTAAAGCGACATTGAAAGCCATTTTCATTCAACTTCACTTTTCGCTGACATTTTTCATTTTGAAAGAACTCTTCATGAAAATTAAGAGCTTTTCTTATTAGAATCGTTTTCTAAAGCAATTTTTCTTATTCTTCGCTTTCTAAAACAGAATCTTTTTTTAGAAAGAACACACGATACTTTGTGTCTTCTAAAGTGCGCTTAAAAACTTCAGAACTCTTTTCTTTTCGTATTACAGTAGCCTTTGCAAACACACCCTTTCTGGTGCACTTGGAATATACAAGAATTGAACTGAGTGCCCTAGTAAAGATGCCTTTCCACTTTCCTTTTCACTTCCACTATTACAATTGTTGTACTTTGAGCTCAATCATCTACGCAACCTTTCTAGTGCATTGAATTCTTCATCTTTGAATCGTTGCCGAAAGCAAAACTAAATTCAGTACACCAGAAAAGCATTTAAAAAATACCGACTGGGGCTACCAGTGGTGAATTGATCGCATACACGAAATATATCAATCACAATACAACGACACACACAATACTAGGCTATATCTTAACTTAACCCACGTCATGACAGACGGCTCCCTAACCCTAAGCTCAATGGGGAACTAAATAGCTTTTTTTTGGTGGTGAAGGGAAGATGACGATGAAGGAGTGGCTTGTCACTTTAAAGAACTGGGGCCACAACCACCAGACTGCCCTCCAGAAAACCTCTCAACCCGAAGGGAAAGGAAATCCGAAGGGGATTTCCATAAATCAACCAATGTACACGCATTTTCAAAGAAATAACACTCTCTTTTTCTTCTTCTTTTCAATATTTATACAGATTTCTTTTTTAAAAAAAAACTAATACATTTCACAATTCTTATGTTTTTCCTTAAAAAAAAGCTTATTCAAAAATAAGCTCAAAAAAAAAAGCCAAGACCTCATTGACTCATCATTTTTTTTTTACAAAAACATATCCAAGAAATTTCCCAAATACACTGCTCCACAAAATTATATGGAAATTTACTTTTTTACCAATTTTATGCTCTTAAGAAACGACGCACTTCTCGAACAACAAAGACACTTTTAAAAGCATACAACTTTACTTATTCACATCAAAACATCCTTTTAATGATTTATTGATGGGCATTCTTTAATTTCAGCCTAGGACACACACAAAAACACATAAAATGACATTGAAAATAGCAATCATCAGACTACAAAAAAGATTCAAATCAATCACATCGTTGAATAACCTTATTAAACATCGTGAAGCTAACAAAGTCTTTAAAAGCCATCACTTCATTGAGGTGAGGCGTAGAACTAATACATTTCACAATTTCTCATCTTTTTCCTTAAAAAAAGCTTATTCAAAAATAAGCTCTCGCTCAAAAAAAAAGCCAAGACCTCATTGACTCATCATTTTTTTTTTTTTTTACAAAAACATATCCAAGAAATTTCCAAAATGTTTCATCTTCGTAAAATTTGAAAAAGATTAGCGAAAAGTTTTTGTTTATCAAAAAGCTTTTGGAATGATTGGTGTGTGTCTTCTTCTTTCACTGGCTCAGTTGTTTAGAGTGAATCAGGTGAGCGATTCTTTTTTCTATCAAAAAAAAAGCAAAATCACCCCACGTGCCAATGCTTTATTTTTTTTGTATTATGCACTAATCGCCAAATAGAAAACGATTATTTTATTTGTTTTATGCTACAGTGATCCTTTTCGATAGCCGACCACCGACTCGCTAAGCATTTTCTAAAGTGCAGCTTCGTGAGAAATTTGCGACAAATTCGCGACGACGGTATTTTGTCGCGTACAGTCGGGTAGTCGTTACTGTTTCATTAATAATTTGGTGAAAAGTCAATCCGCGACAAATTTGCGACCAATTCGCGACAAATTTGCGACCGATCCGCGACAAATTTGCGACCAATTCGCGACGACAGTATTTTGTCGCGTACAGTCGCGTAGTCGTTACTGTTTCATTAATAATTTGGTGAAAATTCATTTTTTTGCAAATTGGCGACCATTTTGCGACAAATTCGCGACGACGGTATTTTGTCGCGTACAGTCGCGTAGTCGTTACTGTTTCACTGATAATTTGGTGAAATTCAATTTTCGACAAATTTGTGACCAATTTGCGACAAATTCGCGACGACAGTATTTTGTCGCGTACAGTCGCGTAGTCGTTACTGTTTCACTGATGATTTGGTCAAATCAAATGAAAAACAAACTAAAATACTATAGTCATTCAATAGCCCTGAATCTCCTCTTGAAAACTAGTACAAACTTATCGAGAACTTTTTGCAAAATATATAACAAAAATCCTTAAATTGACACTAAAATTAATCGTTATTAGTATAGTCGGTCGTATCGTTCCTGCGCGCCCAAGTTACCGTAATTTCATGGCTTTAAACTAACCAGTAGCTGTTACAGTAATCTTTGAGCCACGGATTCAATAAAATCTGCATTACTTGACTCATTTTGTTACATTTTTGGGAGTAAACCTGCGATAGACTTGGAGTCTTGTTTACAGTGAATCAGGTGAGTGATTCCTTTTCTTTTTCTATCGAAAAAAATCACCTCACATGCCATTTTCCTCCCACATTTTGGATTACTGTTAAATGCATAAACATTTGTTCTTTTTGTTTATTGATTAAACCTTCCTAGCTTTCCCTGATTCTACAATTTTCTTTCTAGCTTCTCCAATAGTTTTTTTTTTTCGTTTTGTTTCTTTCATAGCTTTAATTAAACACAAAATTTAGACTAATACATTAAATTTATCAAAATTTCAAAATTTATCTATTAATCCCACCTATTCCTGTCAGTTAAAAGGCAAACATAATCCTTTTGGTACATTGATTTGTGGAATAACAATGAGTCCACCAGAAAGGATGTGTTTCCATGTTTTAAGTACAAAGTACACCGCCGAAAAACGAGAGTATAGTAAATCGCTGAAATAAGATGCGCTATAGGTTTTTGGTTTTTTGATTAAAGCCTACTTATAGTATAGAAATCTCTAGTTAACCTACGATGATTACTTTAGGAAATCTTAGTACAACTTCGTACAGCTTC